CCGTGCGCTGTGGGTGACAGGGTAGAGCCATAACCTCCCCATCGGCCCTGCCCTGAGTGTGAGAGTGGTGGCGCCCCAACCCCCTGATCGACCCTGCTCTGTGGGTGATAGAAGGCAACGCCCCAAACCCCTGATTGGCCCTTCTCTGTGCATGACAGGGTACAGAACCCCAACCCCCCTGATGGGCCCTGCTCTGTGAGTGACAGGGGGTGGCATCACAACCTCCCGATCACCCTGCTCTGTGCATGACAGGGAGCAGCGCCCCAACTCCCCAATCGGCCCTGCTCTGAGCCCGATCAGGGGCTGCACGTAGGGATTGGGCCTGCCCTCTGCCACCCGGGAGCAGGCATAAGCCAGCAGGTTGTTATCTCCCGAGGGGTCCCAGACTGCGAGAGGGCACAGGCCAGGCTGAGGGATTCCCCCTTTCCCCCCGAGTGCACAAATTTTTGTGCACCGGGCCTCTAGTTACTTATATAAAACCACTAGAGTAAGTCTATTCTGGCTGGTAGTCTCATTGTGAGACAATGTGATGGTGATAGTTCACAGGAATCCCTTGCTTGGTGGGCATCTTGCCCAAGTCTGCTGTTTGGTCATGCATGTTTTAGTAAGTTTTCAGTACTGTGTTTCAGTGGGAAAAATAGACATGCATTGGTCATTGGGAAGGATGATTCATTGTCACAAAGAACTAGGAAAAACAGAATGATAAAAATTATGAGATTGTGCATTTTAAAAAAATTTTTCTGTAATTAAATGTTTGCATTTAACTCATTTTGTTTGATAAGTAATCATTCATTTTAGGAAATGAAGGAACACCAGGGACAACTGCTCACAATTCCCTTCCTGCTGGCTGAGTGTGGTCCTTGTACCTGTTTCTAGTTTGATGTCCTTTTTACAAAGGCGACAGCACATGTTTGAGAAGTTACACTGGGTTACTTAAAAGAGTTTGTGAATATAGTTTCAAGTCAGTCAGTGCTCACATCATTTTTAGACTTTGCCTGGCAGCCACTGGTGTGTGGGCCTAGTTTATGATCCAGTTACTGTGATTGGACATGAGGCTGTGTGTTGTGACTCACTGTTATTTTACTGTTACATAAAGACTCAGTGAGTTACCCAAATTAAAAAACAATTACTCATAAATATTTCAGTATGTATCTGGGTAAGATAAGTGTTCTGTTTTTCAAACATAGTCCTAAAACCATCATCAACCTAAAAAATAGCAATTTCTTTTTTTAAAATGTGTTTTTATTGATTTCAGAGAGAGGCAGGGAGAGGGTGAGAGGGATAGAAACATCATTAATTAGAAAGAATCATTGATCGGCTGTTTCCCGCACACCCTCTCCTTCCCCAGAGAGAGTCAAGCCCACAACCTGGGCATGTGGCCTGACAGGGAATTGAACTGTGACCTCCGAGTTCATGGTTCAGTGCTCAGTCACTGAGCACACCTGCTGGGCAATAGTAATTTCTTAATATCTTCAAATGTCAGCTACCATTCCATTTTTCCTGATGGTCTCAAAGTTAATTTGAGTTGTTTATGTGAGTGCATGTCCATGTAAGATTTATGTGTTGAATCTGGTCGGAGGATCTCCTAAGTGCATTCATCCTTAGAGTCTTTCTTTTTCTTTGCCATTTAGTTTTGAAGCATTTAGGCCACTTGTCTGACAGAGCCCCCTGCAGCCTGGACTGTGGGGTTGCATGTCTCTGTGGGGCTCTTTCCCGTGTTCTTCCTCCTGTCCTTTCCTCCAAGAGATGGTGGTGGGTGTTGGCCCTCTGCCAGCGATGTCAGTGTCACCTGTCTCTCAGGCAGAACGCCTGTCCCCATCCGCCCAGTGTGATGTTTATCCACAACATGTGGCATCACCATGATCACCAACAATCTGATGTCTATAACTAGTTCAAGATTTTTGGGGTGTGTGCTTTTTGCCATTTTATTCCACTGGAGATGTGCCAAATAGGCTATCCTGCCAGGTTGATTCTGCTGTTTTCACAGGTGACAGGACCAGGCCTCGTCTCTGCTCTTTATTCTCAGAATGCGGAGTGGGTCCTTCCTTACAGATGACTGTAGGACTCTTCATGGTTTTGTAGAAATACATAGGACCTTTGATTAGAATTGTGCTACAGCTGGATTAATTTGAGGGTTAGAGACATATTTTTAATATTCTGCTCATACAGAGCATGAAATAGGCATTTATAGTTTTAAGGGCTCACACTTTTTTTATTATATTTAAATATTTGATGTTCATTATAACTAGAAATTCTCCTTTTAAGAATGTCTTCCTTTGGGTGGTGGGCACATAGTGCAATACAGATCTTATATCATAGAAACCCACACCTGAAACCTATATGTTCATGTTGACCAGTGTCACCCCAATCAATTTAATAAATATTTTTTTTAAAAAGGAATGTAAAAAAAAAAATAAATAAAAAAAATAAAAAAAATAAAAAAAGGAATATCTTTGCTAATATACAAGAATGCAAGTAACTTGTTGATGTTCATCGAGTACATGGCTACTGAATTCTTTTATTTCTAAGATTCGTGGCATAGAATCTTAGTTTTTAGATGGTTTGCTGGTTTAGATATTTTTAGATTAGAGAGTATATAATCTTAGCAGGACAGAGCTGATCAGAAATAGTCCTGTGACCCAGGTGTGTGTGGTGGCAGAACAGGCCCACAGAGCACAGGATGGTGTGTTGTCTAATCGGTTCTGCTGCCCCTGGAATTGTGATTCACAGGAAAATGTGGTGAGACCTGCACGCAGTTAGCCACTGACTCCAGGGTCCTGGGCAGCATCACTGGGAAGCTCCTTGGACACTTCAGTGTGCATCTCCCAAGGGGACAGGAAGACTAGACTCCCAGCAAGGAGCTGTGCTCTGTGATTGCAGCTGTTGGGTGTGAGTCCCCACTTGCTGTAGGAGATCTGCCGGCCAGAGTGCGGTGTAGACTGTGTGTGTCTGATGACTGTCACTTCAGAGCCCCCACGTCCCCCAGCATTGAAAGTGGTCTCATCAGAACCCCACACTCCTTACTGGATTGTGTCCTCTTGTTGTCCTTTAATTTCTTCCTCTGTCATAGACGTTTCCTGTCAACAGGAGTTAGGGTGAGACACTTGGCTGTGTTCCGACTAAATGTGTCCGCCGTACATGTCGCGTCGCCCTCGGGTGTCACGGGTCGTGTATCTGTGGTTGTAGATGGTGTGGGAATGATCATATGTATTCTGACCTACCAGCAGTTCCATCTTGTTTTGTCTCTGGGATAGCTGACTAAGATAACGCGCACAGGACCTTCTGCGTGGGAAACCAAAAAGATCCTGGCTGTTTCCTTTGCTCCTCTGGTCCAGCCGCGCCGCTCAGAGTCGGGGAAATCAAGACTCGTCCAGTTACGTGAGTACAGAGACCCTAGCCATCATTTGGATGTTTTGAATTTCATTAGAAGGAGCCTTTAATATTAAAGAGCATTTCCCACTCACTATAACCTTAAACTTTTCCAAGTGATTTTTAGGCATTTAAACAATTATACTCCATTTCCAGCTTATTGTACGTGATTTTAGCCTTGTTTTATGTCTACAGAGAACTGCTGATGGTGATGCCCTGGGAAGCAGAAGAGCCACATAGAAGGGGAATTAAACCTGCTCTGTGGAGAGTGTGTCCCGGCACCTCTGGCTCTGGGGCTCCTGCAGACACTGGTCCCTCTGCTCCCGGGTGGCTGCAGGGCCACGTGTCCGCCACTCGGCTCGGGTGGGCAGGGCCAGGTTTGCAGTGGAGCCTTCCTTGGCCAGGCCTGTGCCTCTCAATCTGTTAGGGTGCAGACCCAGCAAAGAGCTAAGCATTCAGTCAAATGTTTTATAATTTCAACAGAGATTTACACAGCAAGGAGGATTGCAAGTGTCTTTATTTAAAATAAAACTATTCAGCATGCACTCTGCTTTCTGATCATTTAGAAAATTTGGAAAATGAAATAATATATAGGAAGAAAAAAAATCACCCTTAATTTCAACACCCAAAGATAACTAATACTTGTTGGTGAGTTCCTTCCAGAATCATCCTTTAATATATGAGAGGAGTCACTTACCAATGTGATGTTCTTCCTGGTCTCTGCTAAGTGTAGGTCACATGACATCAACATGGTCGGTGAAGTGTGAGGAACCGGGATAAGGAGCAGCCATAGAATGTGCAGAGGGACTGAGAGGGCTAGGTGTGTAGAGAGAGAGGGTATTTGTGCTTGGTCCTTGAGGCTGAAAGGAGCTACGGAGAGAAGAGGGAGGAAGGGATCCAAGGCCGTGACTGTGACGTGCGCATCCCCAGGTGCTTAGAGGAGGCAAGCGGGGACCCTGATGGGATGCAGGTTAGCCTGCAGTTAATCACACGGGCTGTGCAGAGCTCCCGCGGGTTCAGATAGGAGGTGGTGCGTCTCACTCAGGACCACCCTCTGCCAGGCGGGGGGTGTGCAGTCGTGTCCATGTTCCGTGAAAATCCCAGAGGGTAACTGAGCCGATGCTGCCCACGGCAGTGTGCTGGAGGTGAGGGGACAGTCGGGGGTCGAGGAGGCTTGGTCGGGCCTGGCTGATGGGTAGAGGGCACCCTGATATGTGGGTTTTGAGCTTGTGTTTCCAAGTGAATATTGGATGATAAATAATCATGTAATGCTGTTTAGGGCTCATGAAGGGAACAGCAGTCCACTTGTTTATAACTTGATCTTTGTAGACCAATAGTCACACTGATGGAGACAGGGCCTAGTGCGGTCCTGCAGGTGCCGACATGGTCAGCCGTCAGAGTGGATGGGCCAAAGACAGCACAGGCAGGAACCAGTTAGGAGGCGATTGGGATTCCCCAGGCTAGAGAGGAAGATGGATGGTAAACACTGGCCTGAGAGGGAAGGGCTGGGGCAGGCCAACGGGCCTCTCTGAGGAAGGATGCCAGAGACCATTGTAGATTCGGGTTTGTGGTCAGGACTGGGCTATAGCCCTGGGAGCTGCTGGCCGGTTTCTGTTAATTGAAGCCACAGACTAGATGTCAGATCAGGGGAGAGGAGAAAGGGCCAAGTCAGAACCTTGGGAAGCAGCATTTGGGCTGGGCGGAGGAGGAGCCAGGGAGAGGTTCGGCCTGACACCAGCCCGCGAGCAGGTTACCTCCCTACGTGGCCCACGTGCCAGCACTGTCTGTGGGAAGTCTGGTGGCCTGTGAAGGACTCCTTTCAACTGCCTTAGGAGCAGCAGCTAGTGGCAGGGTGAGCCCCAGCGTCCTTCCTGGAGGAGGAGGACAGTTGAGCAGAGAGGAGAGTTGGTGCTGACAATGGAGTCACAGGAACTTTCAGGGTCCCTGGGTTCTGTGGGCATTTGCTGAGGTTCTGCGAGGCTCCCGGACGGTGGGTGGCGATTTTTTGGAGAACTTAGGTACTGGAGAGGAAAGTGATGCTGGTTTTGAATTTACTGTATTGAAACACTTGACCCCTCAGGCACAGAGCCTGAATTGAACAGAGCCTCAGTGACCAAGTTTTCCTTTTCTTGTGCTGTAGAGTTTTTGTTCTTAAAAATGTTGTGGTTCTACTTTTCTCTACTATGACAGCAACAACAAAAAAGTATTCAGTTTATAAATCACAGTGAAAACATTAAAGTAGGTGGGCGAGTGCTGGATGGCACTGGATGAGAGAGCCCATGGGACCAGAGGGCCAGAGGGCCGTGCGGGCTGGGCTGGGGAAGACGCAGAGCAGCTGGGCTTTCTCCTGCCGGTCTCCACCAGCAGGTGGTGCCCTCCTTCGTCTATGTGCAGGTTATGTGTTTAAAGTATTTCCTGAAAAGAGCTCATGTTCTTTGCTTTGTCCACATGCAGTTTCCAGGTGGTTAGGCCTGTGTTGTCATCACAGACACTGACTCATGTCCTTTGCGCTGCAGCCCCCCTGGCGGTCCGGAGCCTCCAGGACTTGGCTCGCATTGCCATCCGGGGTGCCATTAAGAAGGTCATTCACCAGGAAGCAGTGAGCAGAAATGGGGACGGACTCAAGGCCACTCCCAGGTTCAAGCGAAGGAGAGTGCGTCGACGTCGAATGGAAACCATTGTCTTCTTAGACAAAGAGGTCTTTGCCAGTCGGATTTCCAACCCGTCTGAGGACAACAGCTGTGAAGGTTTAGGAGAGGAGCAGCGGGAAGAAGAGGAGCAGAGCCCGGCTGAGATGAAGCCAGAGCCCCCTGTGAACTTCCTGCGGGAGAAGGTCCTGAGCCTGCCCCTGCCTGACCCCCTGAAGTACTACCTGCTCTACTACAGGGACAAGTGAGCGCACGTGGGCGGCGCTGAGGCTGTGGCCAGTGGAGTGTGCCCTGTCTGCACGGTTCTTCCAGTTTGATCTTGATTATCTTGTAGAATTTTCATTAAATGGTAGATTTCTTTAAATATAATCTGACAAACGTAAGTGCATGGGAGAATGTTTTCTTGAAAGGGACAGAGTCTCCTGGAGAAAGGGCTCCCCCCAGCTGGTGGGAGGCGCAGGGAGGCATGTCTGCACAAGCAGTGAGATCGAAGGGGCCCGTGCCGTGCTGTGTGTGGAGCGTGAAAGCACACCTTTGGAAGTGTGGGGGACTTCTGAGTGTGACACACCTTTGTCCAAATTTGAATTTGACATTATCAACCTCTTAATTCATGGCCCTGACTTTACTAAACCTAGCTCTCCATTCTTGACAAGCCCTCCCTTATTGTAAGTAATTGAAGTAACTCTTATGGGAGTTGTCAGTTTGTGCGTTTTTTAAAATTGTGCTGGGGAGGAGGAATAAAAGTATCAAACTTCCAGATATCTTTTAGGAGTTCCAAAAGAATTCCAAGGAATTTTTTCCTGACACCTTTCCTTACCTTTAGAATAATGTCACCCTGACCAGGTAGTGCAGTTGGTTGGAGCATCGTCTAGATACACCAAGGTTTCGGGTTCAATC